AAGCTTCACCGCAGCAAGTTTCCAAAGAAGGGTGTACATCGGACAAAGGGGACTCTTGACTACCTTCATATGGATTGCTGGGGTCCTGCACGTGTTGAATCTATTGGAGGTCACAGGTTCTTTATGTCGATAATTGATGACTACTCGAGAATGACTTGGGTAATCATAATGAAGCATAAAAGTGAAGCATTCAAGAGGTTCAAACAGTGGAAGGGCTTGATAGAGAATCAGACAGGGAAGAAGATCAAGCGATTGAGAACTGATAATGGTCTGGAATTCTGTTCGTCTGAGTTCAATGAGTTCTGTAAGAACGAAGGGATTGTTCGACACCGCACCATTAGAGATACACCACAGCAGAATGGTGTGGCAGAACGCATGAATCAGACACTACTGGAAAGAGCAAGATGCATGCTCTTTCATGCTGGTTTGACTAGGAAGTTTTGGGCAGAAGCAGTAAACACGGCGTGTTATCTGATTAACCGTGGACCTCACACTGGTATTGACTGCAAAACACCTTTCGAGGTATGGTCTCAATCACCTGCAGATTACTCTACATTGAGAACTTTTGGTTGTACAGTTTATTATCACGTGAGTGAGGGTAAACTAGAACCAAGAGCAAAGAAGGGCGTATTTGTTGGTTATGGAGATGGAGTCAAGGGGTATAGAATTTGGTCACCTTCAGAAAATAGAGTTATCCTTAGTCGGAATGTGGTGTTTGATGAAAATTCTATGCTTAATTTTGCTGTGAAGTCCATTAGTGCAGAAAATTCTGGTGTTGATAAACAGGTGGAGCTGCAAGTCACTCCAGATGAGAGTGAATTACAACCCCAAGGTGGAGAAGATCAACACACTACTCCAGAAACTACTATTTCTGATGTTCATCCAGAAGCTCGTCAAAGAAGCATCACCATTGATAGAGCTAGGAGGACAGGTGTGAAGCCTCCGGTGAGGTACGGGTTTGAGGACATGGTGACATATGCACTACAGGTCGCCGATGAGGTGGAAGATGAGCCATCGATGGATGAACCATCTACATACAAAGAAGCTGTTTCGGGCAGCGAGTGCGCTAAATGGCTCGCTGCAATGGGAGAAGAGATGGAGTCATTATCCAAGAATCAGACTTGGGAGCTGGTCACACGGCCTAAGGAGAGGAAGATTGTTACTTGCAAATGGATTTTCAAGAAGAAGGAAGGAACCATCCCTGGTGA